ACTCAGTTCTATTTTTATGAGATCTTGAGGTTGAAGTTAAAAGTCAGCAGTAAATTTTTTAAGTAATTTCTTACGCACACAATTCAATGGTTTGCTTTTGAGTATCTCCTTTGATCAGAGCCTTATGTCTAAGCTCCAGAGTCTTCCTCTCTGACCATATAGAGGAAGAAAAAAAACAGTTCATTAATGTTATTGTTTGTTAATTAAATATGTTTAAGTAGTAATTATTTCCATCATATGCTGTATTCATTGAAGGTACGGCCTGGTAACAGGAAAGAACCATTCTAATCAGGTGTTTGTAGGTCTTTATACAAGGAAATCAACTGTGTCTCTGCAGAGCCAGATATCGCTGGGATTCAGACAGTTTGAGGCTTCCAAGGAAGCTCAGAGCTCAAATCTCCCTCCTGTGTCCATGAGAATTATATGAGTACTTCTCCATTTCGCCTTGCTTTTTTAGCTTTACAGAAACTTCTTTCCACCCTGGATATTGATACTTATAACTCATTGTCTCTCTGTTTTTTCAATTTACTTTACACTACTTTTCCCATTTTGATTTTATTGGGAACAAGTCCAAACATTCCTATCAGATGCTTTCAGGGTTTTTTTACCATGCAAAATAAATTTGATTTTAAAACTTTAGTGTGCTGCCTGCACAGAAAGTAGATTAGTTCTTGGGGGATTTTAAAAATTAAAGAATGTGGAAATGGCCAAGATATTGTGATTTTGAAAAGCGCCTACATTTTAAATGAGTTCTTAGTCTCTCTGAAGTTTTCTTAGTAATCTTGTTGGTATGTTCCCAAATTAGCCAGCAAACAGGATAATATATTGCATTTAGAAATTAAACGTAGAAATCACTGCCTATACCAGCTATCATATTTCCTGTTGTGATGTGAGAACAATTGTTTTCTTACTGTTGCTTGACATGCCCTTCAAGATTCAACTACTATTCCTGCTTGTCAGTGGGTAATCAAGGGTATTACAGGAGGTGGCAGAATGCAAGGGAAGCAGGTTTGGGTGCTGAGTCTGAGCCCCCTTGTCTGTGGTGCACGTTCAGAGTACTCAGGGCTGTGGGACAAACAGACAGTTCTATTTAAGCTCCTTTTATTTTTATGAGTTTCACTTCAGCTTTTGAGGAGTCTTGGACCATAGATCCTTTCATACATTATTTAGAGTTTTCTGCCTAACAACTTGTGTGTGGGTGCAGACAATGGGTCTGTTCTTTGGCTCCTTGGGGCAATATAAAGGAAACAGAGGAGGCAGAAGTTGTGCCATGAGGCTACTCCATATACAGGGGCATAGGACACACAAAAAGACAACAGAATCAAGACTTGGGGTTTTTTTAATATTGTAGTTGAATTGCATAAGGCACTTACAGGCTGAATTAAAGGAAGTGACAGGTTTGAAAATTGCTTTTAACAGAGTGTGGAATATATTAATTGCTTTTACTTCAGTATTTCTTAATCTGTGTCATACCAATGAGTTATGACTGCTTTCAGTGGAGATCAAATATGAAGGTTCCCATCTCTGCTCAAAGCAGAGCTAGCAGCAGTAACTAGGTGGCTACCAGTTGCCTCAAATGCTGAGGATTTCTAAGGACTGTACTATGAAGCCACTGGATAGTATCTCCAATATGTTTCCATCTCCCTTATGCACATTGTGAATTTGAAACTCCTGAAGTTCATATCGGGCTACAGAGAAGGGATGTAAAATTTCAGTAGCCCTTTATCATGCCAGATGATGCCTTTTACAGTTTTTGAGGCAGATTCATCTCTGAAGTAATTAAAATAAATTAATTCAAATGCACACTACTTCCTTTAATGAAACCATTAGCAAAGGGCAGAATACTGAGGTTTCTAATTGCTCATAATGTACCAGTAGCCAAATTTTCTGTCTTCTCTCCAGAAAGGTCTTGGTAAGTTTGAAAAGGTTTTTTAACCTTTGTAATAATGGCTTTATACCAAAGCCATTGAAGAGTTCAAATACACCAATAATAACCTATTGGAAAGAGAGAAACAGAAGTGACAGATTATTAGTTAACAATTGGTCCATAAGTCCTGCTCTATACAGCAGTGTAGAAAGCAGGAATATCACTCACGTTTGCCTGTCAGGCTTTTCCATTTTAAAGGTATAGATCATTTTCTTTTGTCCACTGAAGAAGGATGATATTATTTGGGATGAATGAAGCAGAACAGGGTTATTTTAGATTTAAATTGTAATATAAGTTATTGTGGTATCATTCAATTTTGAAAAAATGGAGACTACTAAGATACAGGGGTGGAGGGAACCACAAGAGGTCATCTGCTCCCTTTCCTCTTCTACCTGACTCAAAGAAGTATGTTCATTCTGGATGATATATAACCTGTTCTTCAGAGATCTCTTAGGCTAGACTGTGCATTTTCTTCTGCCCCAGACAACCTGTTCCATCAATTCTCTATCATTATTTTTATAATAAAGATTGCCTTAACGTCAAACAAATCTTCCTTGTTGCAGTTTAAGCCCATTACCTCAAGCTCTGTCCATGAACATGGAGAATATTTTATTCTTCCTCATTTTTGGAAGACTTTTATGTGCATGGAGACAGTAGTCATCTCTCCCTATAATCCTTTTTGGTCTAAACAATCCAAATTCTTCCAGTCATTCCTCATGAATCTTACTTGCTAGTCTTTTATTTATTCTTCTTCCTTTTTTTATTTCTTTTAAGTTGAAAAAGTTTTTTCTTGTCAGTATAGTTCTCAAAATCAGACATAGTCCCTTAGCTGAAGCCTTGCTAGTGCAGGGTAGGAGTACCTCACATCTTAGAGGTGATGCTCCTCTTTATACAGTTTCCTGCAGGAGGGATCTTTGGTGTTTCTTAACCACAGCAGCATGCAATTGCTGACGTGCTCAGTTTGTGGTCTGCTATTGAATCTTTTCTCTCCTGTAGTCCCTAAATCTTGACACCTGTATTTATAGGATTAGTTGTTCCTACAGAAAAGCAGCAACTTGTATTTAACTTTATTGCATCCAATTTTTTTTTAAGCCTGTTGCAAATACTGGATTTTAATCCTGTCTGTGCTGTTCTTGTGAGGCTGTGGTGTAGAGCTTAGCTCTGAGAGCTTAGCTGCAGCCGTGGCTGGTGGATGATGGAGTTCCTCTGCTGCTTATGGCACAGAAGTTTCACCTCATTGCATAATCAGGCCTTTGGTTTTATCTTCTTGGCAGCAGTGCAGGGCTTGCTTCTTTTTTTGTTTCCTGTGTATATGAGTTTCTGATTTGTCTTGAACTTCATAAATTACCATTAAATGCAAATATGGGTAAATCCCCAAGCCACAGAGTATGTTTTATATCTGAAACTCATTTCTATTTATGGGATTTCTCTGAAGCTGTCCCTTTAAATTAGATTTCTCTATCAGGAATACATATCAGTTGCTAAGGAAAAACTGGATCTGAGCAGAATTATTTCAAAGCAGAGCTGAGATAGCCTGAAAAGATGTCCTGTCATTTCCACAAATTCTCTTGCTGCTCTTTTGCCCTGCAGTCCTTAGTTCACAGTGTTTAACACTCAGAGTCACAAAAAATAAGGCTTTAAGGGATCGAGACAAAAGATTAATTTCAAAGGACATACAGCACTTGCAGTAGCCAAATAAACAATGAAAATATGTTGAACCTGATTTTTGGTGAACCTGTATGAGTTACTCAATGCTTGTTCCTGTGGAAGTCTAAAGACAGAAGAGTAGTTAGGTTTTTATGGAGTTGTTTTCACAGATGTTGAGATCTGCTTCTTTCACATCTGTTTCTGGATTTAACAAGATGCCAATACATGGAAATAAGTACTTTTGAAACAAAATTTTCAAGTATGGATGACAGAAGTTAAGAAGTTAAGTTCTGTTGCTCAAAAATGCCCAGTACCTGGCAGAATTTGTATGGGGGCTGTCTGGAGGTGGTCTCTGCCTTTGAAATTCAGGAATTCCTGAGAATGGCCTTAGACTTTCCAATAACGTTGTTTATAAATCTGTCTCTGATTTACTGCATTGAGTAACTTTGTTTTCATATATGCAGTAGGACTTATTTAGGGGTTTTACTTTTCTAGAACAGCCAACATTCTTTTCTTAACAGGTGGGTTTTTTAAGTAAGTTTGATGGGATTTCTTACGAGAGCTGTAGGAGAACCTTAGAAATAACAACTTGTAAGATGAAAAGAAAATCTGACCTAGATATAAAACTCACTAAACTTGAATTGAAAACAGTACCAACTGTATTGGTGCCCCAGTGTCCTACTGTTGACCATCAGTGGCTGCAGTCCTCATGACTTTGGTGCTGAGGATTTTGCTGAATATTTTATTCACTTTATAGAATTGGAGGTTGAAAAGCTGGAGAAAATTTTAAAGTTCTTCCTGCATGGGAATCTTTGGAATACAACGGTGTTGAAACAGTTCAGGAGTTAGAAGCATTAGCTTAGTTGATGGTGCATTGTAAGGCTGTTTTTTTATATGCCACGATTCAAGTTCAGACTTTACGTTTTCTCGTTGTTTTCCCTGCAGTTAATGGCATCACTACTTCTGGATTCCTTACACTGCTTCACTGGCCATTAATTAAATAGTCTTGAAACAGTTCCAGATACAGAGTTCACCGAGAGGCCCCATCTTTTCAATGGATTAGATTCAAAGAGCAATATTTTTTCCTTCTGAGGCTTTGTGTCCTGTCCCGAAAACTGCCAGTCAAATCTAGTTTAGTGAAAACTGAACTCATATTTTGAAAGGTAAATATTGGAAAAAGTTCCACATACTTGAGAAATAGTCACTTGCTCACTATTTCACAGTGTGCACTGCAGCTGACTGGGTTTATTTAGCAGATAAAATATAATCAGAGTTTTATCACATTTTACCAAGTTGCACCAATTTGAAGATGAGATGAGATGAGATCATTAGCCTCTTCGAACCAATGCATCTTTCTTGAGTCCAGCTGAAGAGCTGATGCCTGCCTTTTGGAGGTCTCTTTAGCTGTGCTTTGTTTTGGGTACAGGACACGGAGATTCTGAACACCGCCATCCTCACGGGAAGAACGGTGGCAGTGCCCATCAAAGTGGTCTCCATCGAGGAGAACAGTGCTGTGACAGACATCTCTGAATCAGTGGAGTGCAAATCCTCTGATGAAGACGTCATTAAAGTAAGTTCATGCCATGTATTGTCTTGTAAAATTTCATGTCTTTTTATACGCAAAAGGTTGATAGGCTGGGAACAACCACTAAATGAACTCCTGCCAATTAATTGTACTGCTGTTTCAAAAGCATAAGGCAAGAGATTTTTAAGAAAATAATTATGTGTAGTGGTACAGCCATCAGACTGAGTTTCAGCAGAATTTCAGTGTTTCATTTTTATGTGTGTCCTAATTTTAAAATGTCTTGGTAACGTCACCTCAAATCCTCTGTTGCACAGAGTTCATTCAGTGCAAAACCAGCTCTGTGGTTAGCACTGCCTCTCCAGATGTTTCTTATCACCTTTCTAGCTGTGAGTTTCATCTCCACAGCTGCACCAGTGGAATGGACTGGATGCAATGCAAAGTCATCCTGGTCGACTTCACATTCGGCTGGGAGCTGTTTGGAATGAACAGTTTGATTCTGCACAGAAGTGGCTAGAAAACATTCACATGACTGGTCCATCAGCTTAGCACTAGCAGCTGACTGTCACAGCCTAACAAACACCAGTGGGGCAGTGTTATTGTCTTAAGGCACCACAGCTATTTCTGCTGTGGATGTGTAGGCAAAGCCCTGAAGGAAATGCACAGCAGTGGAGGAGGCAGTGCAGAGACAACGCTCTGCGTGGATCCCGTTCCACCTCCCACACAGGACCTCCGTGGCCTTTCAGCAAGGGTGGTTTTACCCTGGGGCTATAAGCTCTTGAATAGGGATTTTATTCTGTTGTGTGATTTTACAGCATATAGCACGGTGGGTTTTAGTGTCTTTAGGTGTTTTTAACGTGTTGTCAGCTCTCCTGGATGTATAGTGTACAAATAGTACTGCTGCAGTGTTACGTAGTACAGTCAGTTCAGTTTGTAGATTCATGGAAAGCAATAAAGCCCTGTGAACTTGCAGGATCCAACAGTTTTCTGCACTGTTGAATTTATGTAGAAGCATTTATTACAACAGTAACCAAGTAGGTGGGAAAAATAGTCACACTTTGAACTAATGAAGCTGTTGTAGAAGACTTTTACAGAAAGCTTTCTGCTTTCAGTGAATCCTTTAGAGACAAACAAATCTCTCCAGTTTCCTGGGGCTTGAAGTGCACTGTTATATCAAATGCTTTACAGTGTTTTTAATCTCAAAGAATTAACTGTTAACCATTTTCCTATGAAAATGACCTTATTGGAAACCACATTGCTGAGTAATAAAAATTCAAGATAGTATTCACAAATTAAAAAAGTAAATTCAGAAAAAGACTACTTTGAGATCATCCAGATGAGTCGTCTTGTTTAAATAGCTTACAATATTTCTCCTAGTAAGTCCAGTCCCACAGGGATTTCTTCTTTCCAGCAGTGAAAATGGCCAGTGTTAAGTTCTTCCATTCAGAGGAAGACTCAGATCAGGGGAAAAAATTGTATCTCTGATGGGCATTTGTTATAGATCACTAGATGATGCATAGAAAATGACAGCACAATAATTGCCCAAATAAGAATCTCTCTGCAGAAATGGCTTCTGAGTTTTATAGCTTTGAAGCATATTGATCAAGGAGAAATGAAATTCCCAAATCTTACAAAAAAAGAGTGTTCTCACTGTAATTGCAGCACAGCCTGGACTATTGCAGCTCTCTAACAATTTGGAAAGAACGTTTTCTTGAAGCACTGTGTCCTTTTATTAGCACTTGGGACCCCGCTGTGCTCTTCTCTTATTTTCTACAGAAATAATTTATCTCCACTAAAAGGGTTTCTTAAAATGAAGCCTGTTTGCACCATCAGAACGTTGTCAAGTGGCTTCTAGAAGCCTCCCTGTCTAGCCACTCAGAAGGTGAAGTGAAACAAATAACTGGAGGCTAACACACAGTGTTTATTGGAATCAGGTAGAGAAATTTTTCAGGTGTAATTTCTTCCCTTTCAGAAATGTTTTTAAATTGCTCAGATGAATAGAGAAACTATCTTCTGTGTATTTAGAAATATATGCAGGAACTCTGGAGGAATGCATCTGTGACGTGAGTGCTAACTGCTACAAAACACACAGCTACAAACAGGGTTCAATGAAGAGTTTTGGCAAAAAAAAAAAGTTTTATCATCTTATAATAAAGGAAGAAGGGCTTTTTTATTTCATCTAGAATGTTCCAGTTTCCAGGAACATTCTTTCAATGGGAAAATGAAGTTTAGGGTTCAAGTCAAATTGACATGTTCATATTGGTTGTGATTTTTAGAGCACTCAGAAAGCTTCACATGGTGCACAAAGGCCTTTCATCCTTGATTAATTTTGAAATTTCCCATCAAGCTTTTATGTTAAACCTTTGGCTATAGCATTTTCCTCTGTAAAATACTCTTATAAAGACCTTGCTGGGAGTAACCTGTCTTCTAAAAAAACAAAGTCCTGTTCATCATAAATTTTATGTATTGGGAAAGGATCATGATTTCTTTAACAAAGAACAAGTGCATGTGTTTGCAGCTCGTGCTCCTGAGCATCCCTGTCATAGCAGAACCAAAACGTGTTCACAGGTATGAAAGCCTCTAGAGTAATTTAAACCACAAACTAAGGAAATAAAGAAGTTCTTGACAAGGGCTAGATGTGTTATCATTTGGAGGTTCACACAGCTATTTTTGTTTGATTTCAGTTGCGTGGAATTTCTGATAACTTTGGATTCAGGCAAATATAAACAAGTTAGACTAGAAGTTGAAGATGATTGGTGCCCATTAGCATGTGGCTTATAATATTTAGTCCCCAAATAAGGATCTGTTTGTATGGTTCATGTAAAGACCCTAAAGATAGTGTTTCTGCCTAATAATTTGAATGGCCAGGAGATCAAAGCTTACTTATATTAAGTTTTACAGTGCCTTTGGTTTGGCTGTAATTACATTCTTCTCAATAACAGAGCCCAGTGGAAATGTAAACCTAAGATATATCTGCAAATAGCAGGTAATTGCTTCCCTAGTGATAAGCATGGTCTCGAGGCAGCTCAGTGCACAGTGTCCTGCTCACTACTACTGCTTGTACTTTTTTTATTGTCTCATAGTTTCAACTCCTTACTTCCAAATTTACAGTTGATTTAATAGACTTTAAAAGTCTTTGAATGCTCCAGAACTTCATACAGTGATCGAACCTTTTAGAAATGGACACAAAATTTATTATAGTAGTAAAAATAAAGCAACAGCCAAATCTTACCTTGCTAAGCTGGAAGTTACCAAATAAGATCCATATATCTGGTTCCTTTACTAGTAATTGCAAGGTTTTTTCCACTAATTACTAGTTAATTCTCTTCTGGAAAATCAAGTGGAACGTGGCTGCCTTTGCTGGTGCTTCTGTGCAGTTTATTCAAGAGCAAATACTGCTCCAGGTTCCCAGGTCACCTGGCTGCTAGAACAGATGTGGTTTTGTGCTGTGAAGAAGGGCACAGCTTCAGGGGACTTGCAATGCCTTGTGATGTTGCCAGTTTGAAAACTCTGGATAATGCTTATAAACTGGAGGATTGTTTTTTCTATATAGCCAGAATTCAAAAATCTTCAGTGCTATGTGTATTTCAGAAGCTACTGTAAATATTTTGGGTTTGTATTTCATCATTCTTGGACTGGCTTTTTTCCTTTTGCTACGAGGGGATGTTGTATACACAGTATTGTGTTCTTATTGTATTACTGTTTTTTGCAATTGGTGAGTTAAAAGCTAAATACTAGTCTCAGTCTATTAGCCTTGAAGTATAGAAACACCTATCTTACCTTTAAGATGTCCATCAGTAGATGTTATGAACAGTGGGCTTTTGGTTTCATTAGGACTGATGAGCAGAGGATGACATTCACCACAGGTAAAGGCCGCTGCCAGAATGTTAGGAATTTCTGTTCAGAGCCATTTGTGGTGGAACAGTTTATGAATTGAAATTCATTCTTACTAAATAGACAAAAGCTCAAGTTGAAATGTCTGCTGTCCATTTGTGAATCTGTTCAGACTGAAGGTCAGTCGTGATGCTGAGTAACACACAATGCAGAAACACCTAAGTTTGCCACTAAGGAAGCTGGTAGATGCACATATTAATGAGATAAATAGTTGTTTACTAATTGTAGTAATTTATTTTTAAACATGTATATCTGGAACCATATGACAATGCCCTATTTCCTAAGAAAAGTCATCAGCACTTCTTTCTCTAGAGATTTCGCTGTTGTCTTAATATACAGAATCTTACACAAATAGCTGCTATGCTTCAACCTCTTCAGTTGTTTATTTAACCACAAAGACTTCTCACTGCTCTTCCTTCCTTTCCAGTACTTGCAAAACTTGAAATGTTTTTTAAACTAAATACAGAACCACTATTTTAACTTTCATAGGCGGGGGAACTAGGAACCACTAATTAGCAGCATCTATAGGTATTTTTATTAAAAGTCAAATTATGCATTTTTCTAGCAGTAGGTTGAACACAGTTCCAAGCTGAGTGGCTGAGCTACAGGCAGCTATTAAGGAATTGAACTCTTAATCTTCAATCCTGCACTCATTAAAGTGCTGCACTCATTAAAGCCATCACGAAAACTCACCCTGAAACTTTAATGGTGTGGGGACAGTCCCTTGGGCTCCTTAATGTTTTATCATAGTGCCATGACTATTCCAGGTTAAAAAGTCATAACAAAAATAAGATCTATGGATGCCCTTTCATCATATTGTTTGGGCACCAAACAGAAAGCTCCTTCCTCTGACTCGAATCAGTGGCTATGCACTGGGGCAACACGATCAAAAGCAGGCGTCCACCACTGAGGGAAATCATCCTGCCCTTCATCTGTGTTAGCCCTGCTGAGAAAAGCATGGTTATCCACGTGTCAGCAAGGCTGATACTCTGCTGGTGAGAGCAGAGGTCCCCACACTCTGCAAATACACTGACCTGAATCAGGGTCAGCTTCTCCTCACTGCTGATGGACTGCTGGGGGCAATGTCCTACTGCAGCACCAGCTTCTGGTACCTGGTCTGCTTAGTGTAAGGGCTCATCTGCTCCCTGCATCCC